CAGAATCAGGCCCTGCCTCATAAAGAAGGGAGCAATTGAGCTGAGCTTTGAATGTAGCTGAAGATTCTAGGAGGCAGAGATGAGGAGGGAAGCAGGGGATGCAGCTTACACAAATGCACACAGACCAGAGATGGAATGTGGAGGATGAGAAGTTCCTGGAGTACGGTTTGGCTGGAAAGTAGAATCAGTTAGATAACCAGCATTTATTGAGCACCTGCTGTCTGCCAGGCACTGTGCTAAACAATGGCAGTCTGAAGGGGGAATACAGACTAAGCCTAGAAAAAGCAATGATGCAATGGTTTCTGGGGGGAGCGGGTTTCCAGATGTGATTCCACTATCCCACACTGCCTTCCATCCTAGGATCATGCAGGAAAATGCATGGCATATGCCATTCCACTAAAATAAAAGTCATCCCTGAGGAATGTCCATAGGTCCTAAGTCTTCCCTATTTTCCACACAATTCTCAAGGAAGAGGAGATATAGGCTCTCAGAGATATAAGAGATCTCAGAGATCATAGAGCTCATGCCACTAGCTGTGTGACCTTGGACAGGTCATTTGCCTCCCTACATCTTAGTTTCCTCATCTCTAAAATGAGAGGGCTGGGTTAGGGGTCCCTTCTGATTCCAAATCTATGATCCCTAATTTTAAAGATAAGGAAACTGAGGCTCAGATAAGTAACCAATGATTTATCAAATTGTTTTCTGGCCATCTGAGGATAGAAACCTACTTCCATAAAGAAAATGAAAGGTTCCCTCAATCGAGCTGTTCAAAGACCTCCAGGAGCGCAGACCTCGCTGTCTCTCGATGCAACTCATCACCAGGAAGTTTCTTCCTGGACTGAGTCAAAATCATCCCTCCCTGTAGGAAGCAATCGCCCCTTGCTCCTTTCTTCATCCTCTGATGCCAAGCTGAAGCAATCTAACGTCTCTTCCATAGAACAGTCCTTTAGACATTTGTAGAACAGCTCCCATGTCCTCCCCACTCTCTCTCTACCCCACTAATGTTTCTCCTCTCCAGGGTAAGCATACCCAGTTCTTTCAATGGATTCCTATCGCAATCAAAACACAAGGATTTAGAAAGCATGTGCTATGTTTGGGGCACTTTGCTAGGCACTGCAGAGGCGAGGACTGGAAGCTCTTCCCCCCTCAGGTTGCCCTTCCCTGAACTCTAATCTTTCCCTAACCTGCAGAAGCTAGAACTGAAGAGAGCGCAAGGCACAGAACAGCAAGATCATCAGTTCCCTTTTCTCTAATTCATGAGGATGTGGCTTCTGTTCTCCCCAACCAGGCTGCAAACACTTTGTTGGCAAGAATCATTTCTGCCCATTCTCCCATCCTCTCTCCCAGAACACTGTTGCCCACAAACTGTTGCCTAGCCACGCATCCCCCAATTTCTATTTGGACAGTGGATGGAGGTTTTTTTTAACCTAAAGTGGGATTTTATGTCAATCACCATTCCAATTCATCTTATCAGATTGGGCCCACAGGCCCAGCCTGTCAAGATTCTGTCCTGAAATGCAGGGGGCAGCCCACCCACTTTGTCTTCTGAAATGGAGTGAGCGTGCCTCACTTTGCCTTTGTCCAGGTCATCAATAAAATACTGAGAAAAATACTGGCCGAGGCTAGAAAAAATAGCCCTGAGAAGGTTCACAAATTAGGGTTTGGACACTAGCACCTCAATTATTAATTAACACTTTATCAAGGCTTCTTCTTAGGGTCAAAGAACCACGACTCCAAAGCTAGAGGCAATCGTAGATACTATTCAGCCCAATGCCCTCACTTTGTGGATGCAGAAACAGAAGCCCAAAGAGGTTAAGCCATTTATTCAAAGTCTCACAAGTTGTAAATGGCAGAGCCAGGGTTACAACCCTGTTCTGATTCCCAAGTCAGTGCTCTTTCCAAATGTACCACAATTAACCAAAAGGCAGCTGACAGGAAGACAAAAGGAAGGCCCCTGAGGATGAGGACCTGGCGGGAAGAAAGGGGCACAGTTAGGGTGGGGGAGGGCACCAAAGACTGTCTCTATCTACAGAACAATGGCATCGGCCCTGACCAAGACACTGAAATTCCTCTCTGACATGTTTCAGGCTCCTGGTTTTTATGAGGGAGAGGAGGGGTGGAGAGAGGAGGAGTCAAATGTTTTTAAATATTTCAAGAGCACTTTACACAATGAGTTGTTTCCAAGTTTGAATCCCAAAGTCATAAAATTGCAGTTGGAAGGGACCTCCACAGCTATGAAAAAGAAAGGAAGGAAGGAAGGAAGGAAGGAAGAAAGGAAAAAAGAAAGGAAGGAAGGAAAGAAGGAAGAAAAAATAAAGAGGAAGAAAGGAAGGAGAAAAGGAGGAGGAAGGAGAAGAAGAATCCCTTTTTACAACGTAACCAATGAAGGATCCTCCAGGCTCTGCCTGAAGCCCTAAAATGATGGGGAGCCCACTATCTCTCCAGGCAGCCCATTACACTTTGGGATCTTGGCTATCGTGATTAGGAAGTGCAGCTCCCTCCCGTGTACCTGGCTCTATCCTCTGGGGCCAGACAAAAGAAGTCTAATCTCTCTTCTACAGGACACAGCCTTTCAAATAGTTTCATTCACTTTAACCTATAAGAATGACCAAGATTTCTCTTCAACCAGGAAGATGCCAGCAGCAAACAGGCAAAAATGGAAATGCTTACCCCTATGGATTATCCTAATAATTCAATGCGTCAATGGGTCTGTGATCTCATCAATGTGAGCGTCCCTCCATTGGTGCAGATTACAATCCACTCCCCACCAGACCCCCTCACTCTACTGTTCCTCATAGCAAACTTTAGATTCTTTAGGCCATTCTAATGAAGTTACAGGCCCATTAAAAAGAGTGCTGGAGGCTGGCTCAGAAGACTTGGGTTCAAATCCTACTTCTTCTACTTACCATTTATGTGACCTTGGGCCAGTCATGTCACTTCCTGGGCCTCAATTTCTTCATTTGTAAGAAAGAAGATGTTTGACTAGGGTCCTCTTCAGCTTTTAAGTGACTGATCTAATTATCCTCATGTTCCAGAGAAGACTTTCACTTGGTAATGTACTATCAGGGTGTTGCAACACTCAAATTCCAACAGATTCTTCTCAGCCCTCTCTTTCTCCCTTTCTTTCTATCCCTTGGAGAATATAAAACATCTATGATTTTCCCTTCAAATACAATTGATCAACTGTTTAAAATGTACTAAGAAAGAAGGAAAGAAAAGTAGGGACCAGGGACTGGAGATATCCTGGCAGGGAATGAGATGCATGGAGCTGGGACCAGAACCATCGCAGAAGGAGCATAACACAAATACAATCAGGCAGGCAGTGTGGTTCAGGGAACTGGACCCAGAGCCACTTTCATAGGAAGAGGGGAATAAGGAGCAGAGACTGGGAACCAGAGTGTCGAAGAGCAGGAAACAGGCACCAGAGATAGTCTAGTAGATAACAGACAGCATGGAGGAAGGATCAGGGATGAGTAACAGTAGTCCCTCAGGCAGGGAATGGAAAGATATCAATGCCTCTAGGGTGGGATTCTGAAGGTTGTGATGCTATAACTTCCAGACACAGAGTTTCTGGGTAATTAATAATCAATTTATTAATTAGGCTAGCTAATAATTAATAAATTGATGATCAGTGGTTTCTCTCAATAACCAAAGACAAAACCATGGAGAGGCTGAAAGCTTTAATATACTGTTGGAAAAGGGGGTGCCCCTGACAAGTAAAAGATCAACCCTGATTGGTGGACATTTAATATGGGCTAGAAGCCTTCAGCTCCTCCCATTGAAAATGTGGCTTGATCATGAGACTCAGCCACCTCTAGCAAACTGGACAGGGAAATCTATTTCCATCTAGAACTCTCTGGTTGGTTTTCTCCTTCATAAGCTGGGTCACCCTAGACTCCAATAGAGAGGTGCGAGGACAGGGGCTAATTTCCTTGTGGCAAGAATTTGCCTAGATTAAATTCTGTTCACACTTTAAACAGAAGTAAGGTTTCCTAGTTGGGTGGGGTCCCATCCAAGATTGAGGAACATGTTCCCAGAGGGTTAAGGACATCTCATCAATTACTCATGTCCTTCAGAAACTGCCTTACTGACCTACAGGGGCTGGGCCCTAAATGACAAAATAAAAAGAAAAAACCTGAATCCTGATTTAATAATTGGTTATTAACATAATAGCAAAATAATAATTTCTCTCAAGGAGGTGTGGCTATGATATCCTAATGACATTCCAAAATGCCTTTGACCACCTCCCTCTCCAGTATCATGCAGGTATGCCTCTAGAAAGTTTTGGGTTTATTGGCAATTTTCAACCTAAATGAGTATGGCAGGCTTCTTTAGAGAGTTGGGCAAACTATAGAGGGCGCCTCAGTCACGTACCCTTAACCCAAGGGTGGTCATTGGTGGGAATGGGGGGAAGAGGATCAATGCGTTATACTCCTTCAGCATCAGCTTCCTAACATCCAATTCTTCAGTGAACACTGCTAACCCTGTAAGAAACTAATGCCCTTCCCATACCACTTCACCATTGAAAATGGACCTCCATGAACATTCAAATATCAGCACCAAAAAGGACCTTGGAGATCACATGGTCCAACCCCCTCATTTCTGAGAAGATGAGAAAGCTTTCATTCTGATGTAAAGTGTATTCATCTCCTCCAGACAGCTGGCCGGGCCCACGTTCAGATTACTGTTGAAAGGGGAAAACCCAGCACACAAAAGTGCAGAAATGAATCGAGTCCGTCCCCCTCCTCAGCAGCAAGAAAAAAGACTCCTGGAGGAAGAGGAAGATCACTAGCCACAGCCTCCCATCCGCCCCAAGTTATGGACCCTTCCTGGTGGTTCCTTCAAAGGGAGACACATGGTCTTTGTGCCACGAAATGTCCTCCAGCCCACGTCCCAGCACCTGCAAAGTATCAATTGCTCTGTTAGGAATCAATCAGGAGGATGAGGATTGGGGGGGGGGGGCAGAGAGAAGATGGAACTTGACCTTGAGCATGACCTACCTGATTTTCTTCATGTGAGACCCTCATCTGCTCCTTGAGAACAGACATGCGGGCTGCCTCTTCTTTGCGTAGGACTCTTTCTTTCTTGAGTTCAGGGCTCCAAAATGTCTTGATGCTATTCATGGAGGACCCCAGCTTGCTGTCTTTGATGTCTAGCTCTTTGCGGAGGAGATCATTCTCCCGCTGCAGCTCCTTGAGCTGAGCCTGCAAATCCAGCATGGTGCTGTCCCTTACCTGTCTCAACATGGAAGGAACTTGGTGGTGGTGATGATGAGATGACGTGGTCAGACCCCCATGCTGGTCAGTGTAGGAAAGGACGTCGGTGTGGGAGAGGCCAGCAGATGCAATATTGGGGCTGCTCCCCATGGCTGTGACCCGACCCCCATACACAGCTCGATTCGTGGCCCTTCCGAGGGTCATCGTGCCCTTGGGGAAAGTCGTAGACGCAACCCCCTCGTGGTCACTCAAGTACATTGGTACAGATGTTGCATAGGCTGCATTAAGGGACTGGATGTTTTCCATGGACAATGTCTTACCTGTTCCTCCCCCACCTCCACTACTGGTTCTCCGGTGGCCCAAACGAGGTGACCTTGGCAAGCGAGGCGACCGGGAAGGACTACCTTCCAAGTTGCTGATTGTTCTTGCGCTCCCATACATGGTTCTTCTAGGATGAGGTACAACTGAATATAAGAAATGCTATACTTGGGTTTGGAATTCAGCCAATATTTCCACAACTGGCCAAGATTTTCACTGCATTATTTTCATAAGCTGCACCAAGAAATGCCTTCCATCAGAGATCTGAAAAGTTGAGAGAAAACAGAAAGAGAAAATTAAAATCAAATAACTTGAAAACTCTAAACAATATTACAACTCATTTCCATAGAAATTTATTTACAATGCACTTTCCTCAGGCCATTCCTATAAAGTTGGTTGGGCAAATATTATCGTCATTTTGCAGATAAGAAAGCATAATCTCAGAGAGGTTATGTGATTTGCCTAAAATAGCCCTCTTAGGAACAATAAAAACAAAAAATAAATCATATTTCTATAGCACTTTAAGGTCTGGAAAGTCATTACTTCCCAGAAGACCTACGAGGCAGGTACTATAAGGACTGCCATTTTACAGATGAGGATATGAGGCGCATAGGAATGGAGACTTGGATGAGTTTTTTACATAGCTTATGACAATTTTTTAAACTATATTGATGATAATAATAAGGAATCACACTGATACAATACTTTCAGACTTACAAAATACATTATATACATTATCTCATTTGATCCTCAATATTACCCTGTAGTCTAATGTACTATCCCCATTCTTCAGATCAGAAAATGGAGGGCCAAAGAAGTTACTTACCCACATTCACACAGTTAATAAATATATAAACTGAATCCAAACCCAGATCTTCCTGAATTCTAGTGCAATGTAGGTTTTTATAGCACATTAGAGTTTACAAAGGACTTTTCTCACAACCTTTTGAGAGAAGTTATGAGGCTCTAACTCTTTGAATCTATCCCCATTTATTTAAGGGTTTGGGGTTTATTTGTTAGTTTTTTGACAAATGAGGCTCAGAAAGTTTAGGTGATTCATCCATGGTCACACAGCTAATAAATGCCAGAATGAGGACTTGAACCAAGTTCTTCTGATGCCCAGTCTTCAACTCATTCCACTTCACTATATTGTCTCTCAAGAACACAGCTCAAACCAAAACCATGGGACACTTGTGAAACAGAAAGCTAATATTCTTCAAATTATTTGCTTAATGCAAATTTTCAATACAGAAAAAGGACTCTCAGGGCAGCTAGGTGGCGCAGTGGATAGAGCACCGGCCCTGAAGTCAGGAGGACCTGAGTTCAAATTCGGCCTCAGACCAAACACTTGACACCTTACTAGCTGTGTGACCCTGGGCAAGTCACTTAACCCCAATTGCCCAAAAAAAAAAAAAAAGGACTCTCGGTGGGGTTTAAGAGCCTTAGGGAACTCCTCAGGAAATCAAAGAAACCTACGTACAGAGAGTCATCCTTACAGTTGCCCCTAAACTCCCCTTCCTACTCCAGTCTTGGTTAGTAACTCACCTAGAGTCACACAGGTGGCCCACGGGCTTTGGAGTCAGAGGACTTGGGTTCAAGTCATGTTTCCGTCACTACCTGTGTGACCATGGCAAATGATTTTACCTCTCAGGGCCTCAGTTTCTTCATCTGTAAAATGACACCGTTGGACCAGATATGTTCTGAGGTCCCTTCTAACTCTAGATTAAGGATCTCTTATGATCTACCATCACCATCGGCAAAAGTAAAAAAAAAAAAAAAAATTTTTAAAGCCAAAAAAAAATCACCCCATAGATCCTATCCAACAGATAAAGTGATAGGGCTGCCCTCTCGACACCTTCTGGACATACTGATCAGACTGGTTTTCTGTGATTTCATTTCCCCCTTCAAAATTAGTCTTAAAGAAGATGTGTTAGCTTCTTCCACATGCCCAGCACAAAGTCTCCAGTTTTCACCAGAAAGTTGAAGTTCAGCACTCTGGACAGTTCTCTGGCCATAGCGGTACCTGAGAGCTGAACTAAACTCGGAGAGGGGAAAGGAAGGGAAAAGAAGAAAGATTATGACAATCAGAAGACTTTGAGGTGAAAACTTCTGACAGCCTACTGACTGTCACAAATGTTTTAACATTTCTGGGCGTACAAAATAACTCAGTATTTTCCAAGTATGGCTGATTTTTAAAAAAAGAAGAGAAGAAATATTTGTTTTCTGTAGTGTTTTGAGGCTAAAGAAGTATTTTTTTCAAAATAGTCTGTGAGGTGAATAGTATATGTATAATTATTTTCATTTTATAGATGGGGAAACTGAGTCTAAATGCCTTATCCATGGCCACAGAGTCATTAAGTGTTAGAACCTAGATTTAAACCCAGATTGCTCAGTTCCATCCCATTCAACACATGTGTTTTCTCCTTCGCATACGATCATAGATTTAGAGCTTCAAGATCACCTAGAGTAACCCCCTCATTTTACATATAAGCAAAATGAGACTGAGAAAGGGTAAGTGACCCCCAAAGTCACACAGGTAATAAATGTCAGAGGCAGGATTTGAATCCAGGTCATGCTGACTCCAAATCAAGCACTCTCTCTACTATACCAAGTTGCCTCTTATCAAAATTTTTTCCATGGCACAGTTTTATAGATAGTCTTCCCCAAGTTCCCCAAGCTAATTATATGCCTCTTCAAAGATTCTCATTTCAACATCAGCTGAAACTGCAAAGGAAAAAAAATAGGCACAACCTAAATGTCCAACAATGGAGGAATGATTGCATAAATTGTAGCCCATTAATGTAACAGAATACTATAATGCAATTACCGATCAGCAAGAATGAGTAATATAGAGAAAAATGGAGCAACTTTTATGAAATAATGTAAAGCAAAAAAAAAAAAAGAACAAAGCACACCAGAAACACAACTACATAAGAGGAAAAATGAATGGAAACTCATGAATAAGAAATCTGATGGAGACTTAGAGAGAGAAACTAAAGAGTTGAGAGGCATTGAAACTCATCTCTATAAATGCAAATCAGGGCAGTTAGGTGGTACAGTGAATAGAGCACTATCAGGAGGACCTGAGTTCAAATCTGGCCTCAGACCAGACACTTGACACTTACTAGCTGTGTGACCCTGGGCAAGTCACTTAACCCCAATTGCCTCACCCAAAAAAAAAAAGAAAGAAAGAAAAAAATGCAAATCACTGCAAAGTAAGTTTAATAAACAATGTTTATTAATAGAGGTAATGTGTCATAGTGGACAGAGTGGTGGACATGAAGGCTGGAAGATAGCTTCAATCTGACACTTACTAGCTATATGACCATAAGCAAGTCATCCAACTGACTGATACATGTTTATGAAGTATCTGTTATGTACCAGGAATTTTGACTTTTTAAAGCCTCAGTTTCCCCATCTGTAAAATATGGATGTTGATGCTATACTATAATACCTATTCCCATAGGGCAGTTGCAAGGAAGGATCTAATGAGATAATGTATATAAAACCCTTTGTAAGTTTTAAAACTCTACGTAAATGTGTGCTGCTATTGTTATTATGGTTATTTTCAAACACTGATGTTGGGGGCCATTTTCTATTCATACTCTTTTCTCTTGTATCCAGAAGCATATATTTATTAGAAAACAGGCCGGGTTTGAGGCAAGGCTGCGATCAGAAATTCTGTATTAAGGGGATCCCAGAAAAAAGCTCTAAGACACACATACATGTAAAAAGGGCCTCTGAGTCAGTGAAGGCTTAAGTCCACTCATGTGGGTAACGCCCAACATGCACTCCCCATGATGCCAACCCTGGTTTGAGATGAAATCTGTAATCATGGAGCCGAGTCAAGCTAGATGGATTGACTCTACAGCCATCCTGTCCATGAGCTGGGCTTTCTTAGTTCTTTGCCAAAGCAGCACAGCCTGCAGAGAATTACAACAGATAACAAACATAAAAGCAATTTGTTACAAGAAAATTTCTGAATCCAAAAGGGATATCAGAAGCAGTCTAATCTAACTACTTCTCTTGGCCACAGAAACTCCCTAAATCAACCTGTTTAAGATATTGACTCAAATACTCAATAAATGTCACTGGCTCAAAGACTTCCCATTGACAAGATCACAAAATAGCCAGTGTCTATGTGTCTAATATTTGGTGAGCCAAGTTCTAACTCAATCTAGAACTTACTATATCATATAGAGGCATCCATCTCATTGCCAGAAAAGGGTTTTTTTTCTTTGTTTGGTTTGGTTTGTTTGTTTTTTTTACTTTCTTTAGTATCTTTTAGGAACTTGGGTTTTATTTTGGGATGAGGGATATGCAAATGATCTGGGAACAGATATGGGATGCTCTGACCCTGTTAATGTTGGCCATGTAGAAAAGGGAAGCTGGTAAGAAAACAGAGGGGGAGGAAGATTGCGGAAGCAAAAAAGCTACACTGGGTATAAGTACAGGCTCTATAATTGATTATCTATGTGGCCATTGGCAAGTAAAAGCTGACATTAATATATTCAATCAGCAAACATTTCTTAAACACTCTTTAGGTATTAGGCACTGTGCTAATACAATGGGTACCGAAAAAAGGCAAAAACATCAATAAAGTATTTTAAGATGGGCAAAGTCCCTTAGAGATGTCACATCTGATAGACACTTTTTAAAAATCTGTATCAGTGACTTCATTGGTACAGAGAAGTCTGGGTGTAGAAACTCCCTTCACCAATGCAGATGGGCACCTCACTGGTAACTGATGATCTTATAAAGTGGCCTAGAGCCCTGAGAGGTCAGGTGACTGGCCTGTGTGTGACCACATGGCCAGTCTGAGTCTCAGAGATAGGACTGGAACCCAGCTCCTCCAGACTCCAACACTGGCCCTCCAACACATCTCACTGGCTCCACTCTAAAGACGCTTCAGTTTCCCTATCTGTAAATCAGAAATCATGCTCCTTGTGCTATTTATCCCATATGCTGATTATGAGGAAAGTAATTTATAAACTGTAATGCTCTAAATAAATGTGAGTTATCACTATTAATACTGTTATGACAATGACGATGGTTAGGCCTTGTTTCCCCAACATCTCTCTCATCTTATCCCTGGGGAAGCACGACACGAACTACAGAAGAAA